ACTAGGGCCAGGGGAGTCCTCAGGGAGGTCATGCACGAACTGCACTACCAGGATACCTGCTTGCGGAACGTGGACATAGGTGCCCTCAGTGCGTAGTTCATGCCTGCCACCCTTGATGCTGACAGCATATCCAGACGGGGCGGCAGGTTCAAAACGAGCGCACAAAGCATCGTAGTCCAGCACACCTTGATCGGCGTGCACCCATTCTATATCCCGGAGGATCGGTCTGGCATCGATGATGACAATCTGTGGCCTGGCCTGGCCGGCAACAGGTGCAGTATTATGTGCACGCTGGGTGGCTACACAGAGGGCTTTGCAAGTATGTCCAATGTGTTCGACATCCTCGATGGCCGGGTTAGATTGGCACATAATTGTGTCGGGGAGACTGTAGCCAAGGAGCTCAGCTGTGAAGCGGCGGAGCTCAGGAAGAGTGTGCGCCGGATTAGGCTCGTATGAAATGACCCGAGGCACCGAATCAGTGTGCACGAGAACTGCAGAACGAACGGGACCTGGGTACATCGGGCAAGGCGTTGCCCAGTTCCTGTCTGACCCGAGAAGTTCTTCGAAGGGATAGAGTGGCCCCAGTATACGGCCTCCAAGGAGAAATGTGAGCAGACCTCCGTTCTCTGGGATTATGTCACTACCGTACGGGAGTAATCGATCCGCTAAGAAGATGCGCAGTCTAGGGTCTTCTTCGATCTCTACAGCTGCAAGTAGGGAGGCTCGCGTGAGCCGGGTGGGTACAATGATACTGAAGAGCCTGCCGTCTACTTGCCGAAGATCGAGAAGGACATGGCATCTCTCTGCAGCCCATTCAGGCAAGGAAAGGACGCAAGCAAACCTGTTGTCCGGCTGCGGCTCGACTGGCAGGAGGGTATCGAAGTAGAGTGACTGGTCCTCATTACGCGCATCTTGGATCTCGTGCAATGCCTCTTCTGGGTCGCATGGGGCTCTCAGAACGAGAGGAAGGACTTCAGCACGATACCTGGGAGCAAAGACAAGGAAGTGCCCATGCAGGAATGTGGGGGGTGGCACCCCGACCGGACGCTCTCGCTCGTAGATGGTGGGATCGGGTGTGATGGCGTCTTCGTCGTAGCGAGCTGGCGGGAGCACGGGCCGTGCAGCATCGCCCGTTCGTTGCCAGGGAACCCCCTGGCAGCCACCCGGTGCGTGGTAGGGGTTCCTAGCTGTAACCGCACCAGATACCTCATGGATACCCTCAGGTTCTTGCGGAGAGTCAGGCATGTCTTGTGGTGCGAAGTCAACATGCAGGACCCCACCATGATGCACTACAAAGGAGTTCCCTATCTTAGGGAGACCCCAAAGGACAGGCCTAAACCCAAAGGGAGGGTGAAGGTCGAGGAATCTAACGATGTCCTGATCCCCAGCTGCAGGAGCTCTGGAGAAGTACAGTGTGGGTTCCTGGCCGACGGGCCGTCGATCGAGTATGACAAGAGCTCCCGGTAGCTCAGCATGGTCTGTATCAACAGTGCTTCGTCGGGCAGCGACGAGTCCAGCAAGGAGGGAACCTCGGTAGACATAGGCTGACATGCCTTGTCTGTCGGGACGGCACAGCCTAAGTGCTTCTGGTCTGCAATGGAGTGCCGAGGCAACGTGGGCCTCCAAGCTTTCGTCGTAGGCACCTTGGTGAAAGATGGGCCTGGGGACCTGGGGCGCGACAATTAGCCATTGGTCGGAAACCTCTTCGCTGACGATGCAACGGATGTCAGCAGTCAAGAAATCCCTGTCTCGCAGACTGGCAGTGGAGGTGGGTTGCCAATGTGGCTGCCCATACACATCGACGAATTTTAGGGTATCCCCAGTCGTGAGGTGAATGGGTCTCGTGGAGCAGAGTGGTGTGGTACCACCGGTCTGGAAGGCATCCCAGGGTTGGCAGGTATGTCTCTCTGCATGATCGACGATTTCCGAAAAGGGAGGCCTCCGGTCAATCATGGCCGCATAGACCGGGCCACTAACTGCAGAAAAATCGAAGATCACTGTGGCGGTTCCAGAATGCGCCGTCCATTGGGGCACCATCAATAGGGATATGTATCCCTCCTCAAGCTGTGGCTCTACGAAGTCAACGTCTGCTGCAAAGTAGGCTCTACTAGGCCCAAGTTTAGCAACAACTGATTGGAGTAAAGCAGCGGCTTGAACAGGGAAGGCGGCCTTGACCTGAGCAGATTGTGTGGGAAAGCCCGGGGCAAAAAGCACACATTGAATCTGAAGCTCGTCGGCAGGATGGCTGACTATTCCTTGCGGTGATCCAAGCTCATGCTCGTGTCTGTCTCTCCCGGGTGGAGTATGAGGACTGTCTTCGCCGAAGCCTGGGCAGTCTGTAGCAAGTGCAGCTGCTGTAACGGCTTGTGCTGTGTCGATGTCACCTGGCATTGACCAGACACACTGGGGTAGAGACAGCATGGACATCAGGAATAGAAGTATGCGGCCAAGCTTGCTCTGTACTCCGGAGCATGTCCGTTTCCTTCCCGAAGCACGCCATTGCAGAACAGTGGCCTTTGGCACGGCAACCTCGACAAAGGGGCGGCATATGTCAGGTCCCATGGGAGGGCATGTGGCAAGCAGGAGTTTGCCAATGGAAGTTCTGTGCAAGCCGGTGGCACGACCAGCAAGGCGGGTCAAAACTGTGAGGAGGAGAAGTCCAAAGAGTGCCCAAGCAGATTGCAATTGGTGCTCACACCATTCGCACCAAGAGTCAAGGCGCAAAAATGTCGACCGGAACTGGTCGTTGCGGGCCCTATAAGGGGCAAGAGAAATGCAGGAGTGGGGTGTGCATGCCAAGGCCCCTGTCCCAGAGCAACCGATACAAGTGTTTTGCGCTCTCGGCATGCAGCACTGCGCCTCAACAAATGGAGGCGGTGATGGCGGGGCCCTCCAAAAACCTCTGTCAAGTAGACAGTGGCTAAAGAGGGCAGAGGAGAACAAAGTGTCCAGCCGGTCGGTAGTCAAAACCCAAGACCCCGAGTCGGCTGAGCACCACGACGTGTGGCCGGAAGTCACAGCAGGCAATGGATGACAGAACAGGAGGCAGCCCGTTGATCCTCTAGCCGCAAGGGGAAAAGAAGGACTGTCAAGGGCGAAGGCAACATGGGCAGGGTCCGGACATCCTACAAAACTGAGGTGAGACCGCAGGCTTCCACGGCCTTCACTCGCAGAGGCTCCACAGTGAGGGCATTGACCGACGGAAGTGCAGGTAGGTGGAGATTTCGCCCAAGAAATCTCACACCTCCCATGCGCCACCAGTCTGCCAACACAATGGCTCCAATGCGATTGACTCCGGGAGGCCTGCCTACATGTAATCACTCCAGCTGTCCAAAGCCAGGAGAGGGTACGCCGTCGGCCTGGTTGAGCTCCTCGTCGTCGGAGACGGAAACATCCGGGGGCTTCGGCGGGAGCTCTTGCGAAGCCATTGAACTCATACCGCCTGGAGCTATGCCGAAGGGATGCATAGCAGTGCGCCTCTTCTCCTCGAGCTTGTCTCCAAGGGACTTGGTGCTCAAAGGTCCTGTCTGTGGGGGCAGCTTGGTGGCCGTCTTCACGTCCTGTCTCGGTGGGGCTTCGGTGGCAGGGACCCTCTGTTGATTTGGGTCTCTCTGGCCTGGATGAACTGGAGAAGTAGGGCCATGTTCTTTTCGAACCGTGTTGTCCCCCGCTGTTCCTGCAAACACATTCGTCGTCTCTTGGCAGGATGTCTGGCTGGGCTTGTCTGTCGCTTCCGGGGCTGCAGGAGGTCCAAAGTCCGGAGGCGGCCGTGCAGCATTGGGCACTGTGCCAGGTGGAAGGCCGGAGGTCTCCTTGGCAAAGGCGGCCCTCGCGGCTTGCAGATGTTGGAAAGCCAGCGCCTCCGAGTGCCCAAGGAGCTGTTGAAGAAGCTCCGGCCTCAGCTGTCGCAGAGCATCCGCATCCGTTGGCGGCTCGCTGGGCAGAGTACGCTGTCTCGGCGATCCGGACGATCCTGTGGCCCCATCCATGGATCGCTGGATGATCCCATCGAAGTCGATTTCCATGGGCCGTTGCCAGTCTTCCTGTAGCTGGTTCCAGTCTGCCGCAGCCACACTGGCCACCTCGGTGGCCGCTGGAGCAATCTCGGCCTCCCCAAGGATAACACCTTTGACCGCTGCTCTGGCGGCCTCCTGTTGTTGGTTGGCTTCCAGGAGCTCGTTCTGGTACCATGCTAGGTCCTTCTGATGGCGGATATACTGTTGTACATAGTTGGCCTTCATGTTCTCGACAAACTGGTTCCACTGCTGAACATTCATCTCCTGGTCCGTCGTGATTTTCCGGACCCTGTTCTCGGCTTTCTTGGCCGCCGTCACTGCACGTTGAAGAGCTTGCATGGAACCCGGCTGGTGTGTGCCCGGAGATGGTCCAGTAGCAGGGGCTTTCGGGACGATTTGTGTATAGCTTGGGAAGGAAGGTGTCTGCTTCCCATCCTGCTTGCCTTGTTTCCATGGAGCCGCCCGTGGGGAATATGCTCCACGCCATAGCGAGTAGGCTCCACCATTGTCCTTGTGCCATCCGTACTCGGACTTGTCGCCCTTGTTGGCTTTCCATGTCTTGCCCATGCCCACTCCGGCCGATCCGGAATGGTGGGAGGCAAGCAAGGCAAGGTCCCTTGGTCGAGGGGTAGCTCCTGCTACCTTAGCTGCACGGACTCGTGCACGTGCTTGAGACCTCCGTAGTCTCAGTCGGCGATGCCAGCAAGGCGATGGCGGCGCCGTTGGACGTGCCTCTTTCGGCACTGGGGCTTCAGTGGATCCAGCCGCTGCTGGCGATCTGAGCCCTATGTATACATACACACGTATAACCAAAACCGCATACCGCAAATTCTGCTCACTTGGTTTCCATTTCAGCCTCCTAATCATAAAGTTAATTTCCAAATCCTCGCTAGAAGTCATACTCTCCCAGCTATAACAACAGAGGCGTTTACTACAGTCGAGGGCCTAGGTAGAGTTAAACCTCAAAGCCGACACCCCAATGAGGCTGCTCCTTCCGGGCGCCCTCGGGTAAGCTTGGTACTCTCCTCAGACCTTCCGGCCGCTGGGATGCGAGGGGCGCTGGTTTCGGGGGTTCGATGGCACATTAGAGATTGGGACTGATTCCATAAAGCACAAGATCACGTCTCTCCCGGACTCGATCCCTTCCGGGAGAATGCAGATCCTCAGTGTGAGCTTATTCAAGACATACGGCTGTAGGACCTGGGACTTGGACCACCAAACTGGCATGGCGGCATGGCAGCTCCAGAGACTCGGGGCAGGCCTTGTTGTGGCCCGTGCATGCCGATAAGTCCGACAAGTCCGGTAAAGAGTACTCACAGAAAACTAGCAGCTTCGAGGTCATGGAAAGTCCTGTGAAGATTTCTTCATGGCCCTGGAAGCCGTACCCCTCAGTCATAGCAGGTCATGAAGCTATAAGCCAGTTTGAGCAAAGTCATGGGGGGCTCCTTATTATAAGTAAAGCATCATGGGCCCTAGAACCCTATTCCGATTATTAAGGCCCCTATACCAATCTCCATAAGGCTGATGAAGCGACTTCTCTCCTCTCAGGTGCGAGACTTCCCATTCACCCTCGTGGAGAAGACTCCAGGCAGTGTAAGTCCACGTGCATCGCTGTGCGGATAGCTTCGTGGGCGTTTCGCAATACAGGTTTCGACGCTGTGGAACAGCAACGCCGCCGAACAGCAATCTCACATTGCTCATAATGCAGAATAAGCCTTCCTGACCAGAGTCTTCCATCATCTTCGCCTCATAACTTTGAACTACGTAGCTTGGTATTTGTGGTTCGCGGCATCGTGAAGACCCGCATTCGGAACGAATGGGACTCTTTCAGATTCGGTGGGCCGTCTCACGGGACTTCCAACAATCTTGCATCTCAGCCTTTTCTTGCTGTCGCACCCCGTGTAGCGCACAATTCACCATCTCAGTTCTTGTTTCTGGGAGCGTGCCTCAGGTGACGCGAGCAAGAGCTCCACCTCCTTCCTAGACCGCTTGGCAGTGCCTTGGAGACGTTTCGGGACGGGAATCTCCGTCCTGCCTAGCATTTGGGGCAATCTCCGAAATCCGGTTAGGGATCAAAGATGTTGCAGGGCGCCCACGCGAGTGAGAGCAAGGGACTCCGAGGGACTGCAAGGGTAACAACAAGGGTACCGAGGACTGAAGCGCCACCAGGGGGCATTTGGATATGGGGTCTCAGCTTTCTATCTGCCAACCCGGTGCGCATTCAGCTTGGGACATGACTTCTAGCATGCCTGTATGCGAGGGATCCGTTACGAATGTTAGCAACTCCGAAGCTTGGGGGCCCTGAGCAACAAATGACATCACGGAAACGACCGTCATCGCCTTCATCATCCTGCGCACAATGACCTTTGAGTTATTCAGCTTGTGTTTTTGCACTCGCATGCGAAGCCCGTACATATGGCAAGCTTCAGATGCCCAGACATTCCACGCCGGGGCCGGGGAATTCAGACATCTTGATGAGCTAGAGCATCCCATTTAAGGCGTCATCTAGGACAGGCGCCAACGAAGTGTTCAGTCTGCTCGAACCTCTTGCTAAATCGGCCTCTCTCACGTTCACGCCGTCCCGGCAGGTCACCGACAGCACCCTTTGCCGGCCTGTTTTGAAAAGACAACCGTGCAAGACATAACAACTCAAGCTCTGAAGCCAAGGCGATGATAAATGCTGGAAGTGTTCAGCGTGCTGTGCGAGGAGCTCAGGAGAAAACTGCAGGGTCCGGGCATGCACGGAGCATGCTAGTACGGAGATCACTCACGATGTAATAAGCATGGCGCACTGCTGCTAGTGCTCTTGGCCTCGGATGCACCCGCCGAGGCTGTCCTTCAATGATTCGCGCGACGACCATCGTATCATCACCAGGCGGTGGTTAGAAGCATAGCGTTGCAGCGAGTCAGCTAGGACCAGGACTGTTCCAGGAAGTCCGACATGGAGAAGCATACGGCCAATGGCCAAAAGCCCCACAGCTTCGCATGTGTCTGTTTTTCAGCAGGCTTCTTCAGCCTGTGGTCTACTCTGCCGTGGCACAAGTCGTCTTCGATGGGTTGCCGAGGCATCTGTCAGTTCGCTGACTGAAGTTCAGCTGCTGGACAGTTCAAGACCTTTGCTGAAACTCTCAACTCCAAGTTGCTAGAAGCTGCTCCTTGCGCTCGGCTCGGCCAGGACCTTTGCACAGAAAGCTCTCGACAGCCTGACAACTGCACAGGCCAGGACATGGGTTTCTGTTGTAGCCCGTGGACTGTCAAGCTCATTCCCGGCAAGCTGGCAAGCTGAGGTCTGAACCCAAGTCACCCTACACCCGACCCCAACTCTCAACCCTAGACCTTGAACCCTAAACGCACAACCCTAAATCTTGAGTTCCAAACCTAAACCCTAAATCTTGAACCCTAAACCTAAGCCCTAAATCCCCCTTTTCACCGTCCAGGGCCTTCCATCTAGTGCCGCGAACACCGCGGCTCTTGCCGCTGAGAGTGGAGGCGACTTGCGGCAGGCGCAGTACTGAGAAGCGCAGGTTTCTTGGGACCTAGCTGAACGGCCAAGGGCTATTTTGCAGTACTGAGTCTGTGTGGCTTGCTGCCACAGCTCAAGACTGCGACAGCTGTTCTTAGCGCGTCTGCGGTTGATGGGTTCCGGAAGAGGCATTGAGCCCCAGAGGTGTTCTTAGGCCTGTAGCTGTCTGTTGTACCGAATTGTAGCAGGCCATCAATGCTTTGCAGCTTTGGACTGGGAACCAGCGTTGCCGCGCTCCCAGCCGTGCCTGACTGTGACGGCGTGTGAAGTTACAAGCACATAGAGTGTTGAAGAACATGTCAATGAAATACACATATATGCAAAAACGTTTCTGTATGTATATATATATATACATATATATATATATATGTACAAAAGACAGCGGCAAAGAGCACTGGAGCAATGATATTGTCAAAGGTTCAAGCAAAGACATGATATCCAATAGCCTAGCCGCCACATTGTGCAGCTGTGTTTTTTCTGCAAGAGCACTATATAATGCACCATATGCCATCCGTGGGGTTACGCTCAACCCTAAGTGTAGAATTGCAGGGTTCCCCCCTTCGTTGGACCGGTTCAACGAAGCCGTGTCAGTTGTGCTCTTGGTGGTTCGTTCCCTGATTATTCAACTAGCCAAAGCCCGGAACTAAACAACAGGTGCGTTGGAGAAGCCCCAAGTCATGCCCATCCATCAGGCGTCCCAACGACGGGCGTCAACACTCGGGCACGAAATCGAGGCAGCACGGAGAAAAGCTGCTGGGCTGAATGTAAAATCGAGTTGCAATTCCCGGACGACCAGAACATCAGGCTGCAGCTATGTTCATCGACAGTTACCTCGCATATACTAGCAGGAACAGCCGTACATCTCGTTGTCTTTGCCTTCATGCCATATCATCCGAGCGAGTTGTCCGTGCCTGGGGCACCAGAAGCTATGTGAAGCTAGGTCCTCCAAATGACAGCCGTAGCTATGACCATAAACCCAACACTCCGGCCAGCAGCTCAACATCCGTTCATCTAGAAGAGTCACACACGAGGAGAACGGCAACAACAAATGTACTATTGTTCCAAGATAGCGTCATCCCGCGTCGTCATTTCAAACAGCAGCTAGAGACGTGTGCTAGTCTTCGTCGTTGCTGTGTAGCAGTCGCGGTGGCAGTGGCAGTCGCAGTACATATATATATATATATGTATACATACATACATACATATATACATCGTACATACATACATACATACATACATGCATACATACATGCATACATACATGCATACATACATGCATACATACGTGCATACACGCATAGTGTATATGTATTTGTACATGCATATCTAGATTGTAGATGTAGATGTATAGGGGATGCTGTATATGTGTATGTTTCTGCATCTGCACATGCAAACTATGCACATGTACATGTACATGTATATGTGCATGTATGTATATGTACGTGTAGCATATATGTATATGTATATGTATATGTATATGTATATGTATATGTATATGTATATGTGTATGTATATGTATATGTATATGTATATGTATATGTATATGTATATGTATATGTATATGTATGTGGTTACACCCACCTGTTCATTGGTTACGTGGTTCCGACATCCCCCCTGTCACCAGGAACGAAGGCCCAGCTGCTCGCAGAGGTCGGGCGCAGAGAGTTCCGATAAGTAGCCGAAGGTCACTATACATAAGGTGCCTTCCTGTTTAACAACGCGGTTTGCGTGGGAGAGTCTTGCAGTACGTCCGCGGGTCTGCATCTGCACAATTGGAGCCAAGATTAAATTGACGCATAAAAGGTTTTTTTGGGCGAGTCAATTCCCACTGTTCCGATCCGTGCGTTGAGCCATAATGAAGTGAAAAGACACTGTTAAATAATTGACGAGCCTTATTGCGAAGTTTTGCGATTGAACGCCTTAACCGTTCGGCGTCGGGTGTTAGGTAGCAGGGAGGAATTTCTGCAGCTTGAACGCAGACCGGAAAGACCATCGTTGGGATTCTGTAGGATGCGGTTGAAGGTGGCGGAGGGACGGTGGGAGTTAACTTCCATGCCTTCGTTGCTTTTTTATTCCTCGTCTTCACGCCTGCCTCAAAACCATGGAATGCCCGCGTCTATCTTGAATCTGGCAAAGTTAGGACAACGTGGCTGCATGTGGAACTGTGACATGTTGAACAGTATTGAACTACATGGAGTGTCAGTGGCTCTGTGTCGGACAAGCCTAAGTTGGCTCTCTGCCTCTCTCTCTTGACTCATGTGATGTTTTTGCTCCTCCGTGGTCTTGGTGCTTACCACACATGAGGCAAGGCCATGTAATAAATCAGAATAACCTACATGTCCATAGCCACCTCCTAGAGAGGTTGCTTCTTGAATGTTTTACGGTCCAGGCTTTGCGGCCGTCGTCGCGCCGTGCAAATCACAACAGTCGTACCGAGAAGCACTATATTGGCTTTTGCTGCTTATCTTAGCTCGTCTTCAATGAGGTTGTGCATCTTAGAAGACATTCAGTGCGGCGGAACTAAACCCCCCAACTGTCAGATTAGCACCGGAAGACATCTTAATGTGCAAAACTCCCACACATGTCATCTATGTTGCGCCCCAATCCAAAACTGAAAACACCTCCCCAAAGTTGTTGGACAAACCAAACGATTGCCCTGTTACCAGTATCATCATAATTATCAGAGCCCAAAACCCTGAACCCTAAATCCTAGACTTTCAAGAAAGCGTGAACGAAGCTTGAGACTCGGAGGCCTCCCGAGATGCGGAAGCATCGCTCCGCATGGCGAACCTGGGGCTCCTCTCCCTGCGTAGAGTATGTCGTCTTTAGCTTTCGGGGTTGTTTCTGTGGGTATCAGTACTGAATACATATTTGTATGTATAGACATATAAACAGATATCTAGAAATATATGTATATATAGAGGGATTTGCTGATACTGACACTGAGGTTGTTTCATGGTTGAAGAAGCAGGCAGTCAGTTGTTCCGTTGGATAGAACAGAGATCAAACAGTTTCAACATGCATGTACGGTTGCAAGCTTCGGTGTCTAGTGCTCATGCTGCTGATACACCGACTACAACGACTACTATTAGTGCAATTGCAATCACTACTACGAAGACGGCGATTACGAGGAGGACGACGACTAGTACTACTACTTGCTACTGCTGGCGCTACCACTGCCACTGCCACTATACCACTACCACTACCACTACCACTACCACTACCACTACCACCACCGCCACCACCACCACAACTACTACTACCACTACCACGATTACTACTACTACTACTACTACTACTACTACTACTACTACTACTACTACTACTACTACTACTACTACTACTACTACTACTACTACTAACTCCTACTACTACTCCTACTAACTACTCTCTACTCCTACTCCTACTCCTACTCCTACTCCTACTGCTACTGCTACTGCTACTGCTACTGCTACTGCTACTGCTACTGCTACTGCTACTGCTACTGCTACTACTACTGCTACTACTACTGCTACTACTACTGGTTGCTAGCACTACTACCACCGCCGGCGCCAACGTAGCCGCCACTGCAACTGTTACAAGGATTACAACTACTTCGATCACACATCGATTTGTCGATCGCAGACCCAATATAGTTGTGTTTGATCGCGGCGATCGCGCGGATCATCACGACTATACTTTCATGACGTCAAGTTTTTGCGAACATATTTGCGCGGACTGAGACACCAGTAATTAAAAAGAATCTCAGTAGCAGCGTTGCTTGCTTATGGCAGTCGACTCTCAGCACCCAAGGCTTTTCCATGCGCTGGGACGTCTGCTCTGGTGCCTTGGAGTTGAAATTGGATGCGCGATGTGTCGACCACGTACAGCTGACGGGATCTTCCCAGATGCCTCACTCAGAAACCTATCATTAAGATCAAGAATCATCTTGGCCCAACCCCAACACCTTCCTTTGACGTGCCTTGGAAACCGCTCGCAAAGGTGCAAGCGAATACCGCCAGGCAGGGAGCTTGCGAATGGCCGTAAAACAACAGGCTTGACACGGTTTGGGATTTGGGGCTGCAAGGTGTCTGCTTGGCCGCTCCAGGGCAGCTTGAGGTCAGCAGTATCATAGTAGAGCGGCCAGTGTTAAGCTCCTTCAGAAACAACAGGCTTGACGCGGTTTGGGATTTAGGGCTGCAGGGTTTCTGCTTGGCCACTCCAGGGCAGCTTGAGGTCAGCAGTATCATAGTAGAGCCGTCAGTGCTAAGATCCTTCATCGCATGCGTGGCTCCCAGAAAGAGACGCGACGAGGCCCCGATTCGTAAGCCACCGTCTTCAGCAGTGATTAGCATCTTGCTTACTTTGCTTGCTAACACTTTACCGCGATGACAGGCAAGTGATGACAGTTAACGATTTCGAGTTCTGTAGGACGGTGCTGCGGTGGAACATCGCCGTAGATAGACAGCAGTTTCATCTCTTTCAGATGGTTTCTGCTTCTCCTACAACGCAATGAGAGCTTACATCGAAGTCGGTTGGATTCAAAATCCAAGACATGCTTCCCAAAACTCACCTCAACCATCCCCACATGTCGCTAGCTTTCATATGTACAGCTCCATTAATCTGGGGAAGAACACCCTGCTTCGCTTCCACCCCTTAACCCTGAATCCTAACCAGACCTTCCATGGCGTTCGAGTGGATTCCTCGAAGCTCCCAGCCAGGTGGGGATGAGGTGGAGATGTCTGCAGGCTCTGCTTCGACTGGGCTGGGCTTGCTTGCATCTAAGATCTTGTACAGCAGCTGCAGAGCATCATTCTATGTATACATGGGAGTCTCTGTGTCGTTCAGGCGGCACAAAGCGCAGGAAGAAAGCCACTACCTCAGGCTCGACAGCTTTGTGCATGTGGTGCTCGATCCTTTGGGCTGCTGTTTGTGGGGCCCAATAACCACCAGGCCCTCGCAAAAGCTTCGGAAGCTGGGAGGTGACGGAGTGGGTGCCAGAAGATGACCCCGCCCTTTCGATTCTAAACAGACTGGAGCATCGCTTGTTTAGATTTCTGGGTAACCTTCTACCAACTCCCCCCAACAGACCGCAGCTGGATTCACAAAGCTGCGGACACTACAAAAGCCAGGCCCGCGACCCTAAGGTCTGAAGAAGCAGTAATGGTGTCCCTTCATAGCCCTTATGTTGATGCAGTGATAAACCGTTCCTCCCCGCAAGAACTCTATCCTAGTCAATTATGAAGGATTCGACTTCGAACCAAGATTAGCAAAGCATTGGTCGCTGTGAAACCCCAGCCCCTGTTATGCAAATACCTACAACCTGAAACCCCTAAGCCAGCTTTGGGGGTCCGAAGAATAAGTAGTACATACTGTACCCCTGTACGAAACCTTTTCAAAGTATTCAGGCCCCTGTATTACATATTACATGTTATGCATTATCTGCTATCTAACTCATATATGCACTCTATTTCACGTCATGTGTCAGATATTTTCAGACAGTCAACCTTGGGTCTGTTACCCCACCAGCCATGCACAGAGCATGAGTGGAGATCCGATAGGCACTTCTTTGTCTAATGCTACGGGTATCATCAGTTGCAGGTTGGCTCAATGGCCATGTTCATTGTGTCTTCGTTTTTCTTCATTTGTTTGCGGTCCTACGCCTTGGTTGCACTAGAGTGTCACGCCTTGCCGCCCATACAGCGCTCGCTACCATCGGTTTTGCAAGGTCGGGTTTACAGGGACACAGGGGTTGAAAGACTTGATTGTGCATGCTTCGTCTCGGAGCCTTTTTTGGTGTCAAGGGCCGCATGTCAGCTCATGTTGTCGAAATTATGCATGCAGGTTGTACGGGCCTTCCCATCAAATTTGTGTAAGGTGTGCTGAACTGCGGCTCTCTTAGAGTGATTGAAATTGGTAGCCCCTTTCTCTGGGGCTTCTCACCTCAAATCTCACCGCGTCTGTGACGCCGGCATATGTCTTCGCTGCCTACTGTGAAGGACTGGGCTTGATAACCTTGCAGCCAAGATATTTACAAACGCAAATTTTCCCACAGCAACACGCACACTTGACACATCGTGTCGCAGGTCTGATCTGTCGGTGCATACTGTCAGGAAAAGTCAGCAGCTCGAAGCAAGCCCTCACTCAAACACAGCTCTGAGTCACACCTGAATGATCAGATTGCAGCAACCATGCAGGAAACTCGACAGTGGCAAACGTGAAGCTGTCACTCTAGTGTTGGTTACTCCAGTGCCTCAGGGGGCCCACTGGCTAATCCGAAAGCAGGTACACAGTGGTGATCAGCCACTGCATCCACTCCAGTGATTTGGCTTCGTTGGGCAAGGCTAATCACTGGAGCCCTTGCCCCCCTGCATGACACACAATCGACCCTTCGGAACAGGGATGGACACACACAAGCCCGACTGGGCTCGTTGTAGGAGCTTGCACATCCCTGGCACGTCACTTGCACATCCCTTGCACGTCCCTTGCACGTCACTTGCACGTCCCTTGCACATCCCTTGCTGCTTTTTCACTGAATTTCATGGGAGAGTCTTATGCTCAAGACACCTAGAAGAGTGGGCTACGAAACCTCAGGAAGCGCAGTCTGTGCACTAAGTGCAATTCAACTTCTGCTTCTTCCGCATCATCATCGAAGTACATGCAACACTGAGTTGCAGTTTGGTACGCAACGCTGGCCAGTGACACGATACTCACTCGCAAACGCTCCTGTACTAGACCTACGACAGCTCTCATCCACCTTTTTGACGGGCTGCTCAACATGGTGCATGCCACGACATTGATTTGTGCAAAACGGATGGTGGTATGCAGAGACTGAAAACCCATGGTCCACTTAGCCGAAGAGGACAGCCGAAACTCCTGTATCCCACGTCGCAGAAAAGTGTACGCCACCATGGTGTCAGTAATGGGTTGTGCCTCTTCAAAGTCATCATCTGGATCGAGACGGGTAATGAATGTGATTCTGGTTCTGATCGGCAACACGTACATCAAGACGTTATCGAGCACATCAGAAGCAGCCCAATCCATGGTGTTCGGGGTCTACACAATTTTCCGAGTGCTTGAAGCAAAACTGCACTTGCACAGACTTCACACACCCTTGCATATCACTTGCAATTCGCTTGCGCATCACTTGCAATCCGATTGCACATCCCTTGCTCGTCACTGCTCTTGAATTGACACGGAGGTGGGCTCTTTTTATACCGTAACGACGAAGTCGACTGGTTCGAGGGTTTGAGCAGTCGTAACAGGTTCTGTAAACCGAAGGTGACGAAAGTTTTGTACAAGCTGGAAGGTGTGCAACCTAGGCCACCAGCCGAACTTCTCCCAAAGCTGCATCGCGACAAGGTATTTGGCACCGTTGATGGAATCGTTGATTGACAACTGGATGTGGAGAATAATAGTCTCGTGTCCGGTTGCCCGACTGCATACACGAACCCACATCCGAAAATTGTAGTCGCGGCTGGTACTCCAAGGCAAATTGGCTTCGCGAGCCTTGCGCTTCATGATGGACAACCTACACAATTTCACTGGATGTCAAATGCTGCAACTCAAGACGGCTCATGCAGAAACTCTTGCACATCCCTTGCACGTCACTTGCACGTCCCATGCAGAAACTCTTGCACATCCCTTGCACGTCACTTGCACGTCCCTTGCACATCCCTTGCAACACCCTTGCACTGGCACTGGCACACAGACGCTTGTTTGCAACTGCTCTCGTTTCACTCTGAGACTTCAATTTCTGCTGGAAGTGTTGGGGGCAACTCTGTTGTTTCTTGAAGTTGAAGAGAATTAACGCAATGAGTAGTCACAGATTGAAGAGAATTCAAATCCGTCAGCAAGTTCCCCACCACTTCGTTGGTCTTCTGAAGTTTCTGAAACAGTTCTGTGGTGGCGGACATAACTTCCGCCACCTGAGCCTCAGTGTCCCTGATTTGTGTGGTGAGCACGTCGAGTTGGGCTTGTTGGATCTTCTGGACGGACAATGCTTCTTCGCGAAAATGACGGAATTCACCTCTGATTGTGATCAGCTCCTGTTGTGTGTAGGAAATCCAGCGTTGAAGAGGTGCCAACGGATCGCACGCTGAGTTGCTCGACATTAGCGCAATGAAACGAGACTTGAGCAGGGTGCTGCAACACTGTTCTGGTGTGTACCACAACACGAAAAAACAAGTACTCTCAGCACTGGCGTCCACGGCACAGTTTTTCTCACTTCAGCACTCGCATGTGTTACAGATACAAGTGAAATCCTGTCACATCAGGCATACTCAGCTAAGATCAGACGATTGACTGCGTCGCCGTCGGCGTGCTACACGTCTTCTGGTAGGCATAGGTTTGGATCTAATCGGAGTACCTGACGCGGCTGAAGATGTAGGTGCGGCCGACGACGAAGCAGCACTGGACCCCAAAGGAGGTTCAGACACACGATGCGCCAAGCTTGCTAGTGGTACCGGGGGTGGAAAGACAGGAGCACTGGTACTGGGCGGGGGGAAGAAGGGAGGGGGAAGAGGGGGAGGGAGGGGAGGAGGGGGAAGAGGGGGAGGGCCAGGGGGAGGAAGGGAGGGAGGTGCAGAACTGGACGAAGGTTGTCGCTCCCTGCACTCGGTGTACTCCTCGATGTTGGCAGAGAGGATGGAGGTGCATAGGGGTGGGATCTGGACGAACGTGATCCTGAAGCTCCGCTACTGCTAGGACGTTCTTCACGCAGGTTTGCTCTATCCCTCTCATCCAAGCGACGCAACTCTTGCTGCAGCATTCTTTCTGTCCCGTCACGCACAAAAGCTGTCAACTGAAGTACGAGAGCTTGACGAAGTTGTGGTCGTGATACAAAGTTGAGCAATCTCACACGCGCTGAATGAGTGAGCGCTCTCAGGAACTCATCGATGTTAGGATCCGAAGGTGGCACCGTCGGCATGCTTGCTTACACAGATGATCTCGTCTCTTGGCCGAAAACACTGCGATGCTCAGCACTAGCACTTGCTTGCACATCACTTGCACGTCACTTGCACATCCCTTGCACATCCCTCGCACGTCACTTGCACATCCCTTGCACATCCCTTGCAATACCCTTGCAGTGACACTGGCACACGGACGCAACTGCTCACGTTTCACTCTGCTTGAACGAAGAACGCGTACTCCAGGACACGAGGGCACAACTCTTGCTCTGGTAGTTTTTCAGCAAGTGACATGTAATCCTGTACACTCCCGGTGACCAAATCAAAAAAGAATCAAACGTTTCGGTTGGGACACTGTGCAACATACCCAAAATGGCAAGCACAGCGGAGGTTAGCTCTGATCAGCATTTTTGCACAAGCTTTTAACCGTGCTGCAGGATTTCGGTGAAACTGCATCGGATCCCCAAGCGTGATATCACTTGCTTCAGAAGGAACAGGTGAACGCTCACGTTTGTCCTTCTTAGACTTCATGGACTTCGGAGACTTATTTGGTAACCGGTCCTTTTTCACCCTCTTTGACTTCTTGGACTTCTTGGTCTTCTTGCACTTGTTGGAGGACTTCTTAACCCAAGACGCCACCTCTGTGGGTGCCGAGTCTTTGGGAGGATCGAAAGCCGAAGACCAGGAGCTGGCATCATCAGGGAGATCGTCATATGGTACCCCATTGTCTTGACGGGAAGCCATGTCGGTGTGCCGAGAAAACAAGACGGAAACGGCTGGCGGCACCACATGAGTAAACAAGAAAAAACTCCTTCGGCTTCCCGAGAGACAGAGAGAGAGAGGGGAGAGAGAAATGGCGAAAGAGACATAAAACCGAGCGTAACGCTCCTACGCGCTGTTTTGCAATGCGCAAAGACGGTTCCACTTCAGTGGTGCAGGCGCTCTAATCCAGGAATGATGAGTGTCCCAAAAATG